AAAAAAAAAAAAAAATGTAGGGCCCCCCCCCCCCGGCGAAACTTTCTGAAATAATCACTGAACAGATCCACATCCAGTAAGATGAAACCATCCCTTTTTTAAAAAAAAAATGGATGTCACTATCATAGGATAAATAAATAACATACATTTATACATATTTTGTCGAAACATTCTGTTTTCCATACATAAAAAATTATGCAATTACATATCACTGGAAAATCATACAAAACAAAGCCACAAAAAATATATATATTATTTTTCAAACAGTACTTTAGTACAGTAACAAACTTTCGATCTCAAGTGTTACAACGTTATGATGTAATGTTATGAGGTTAACAAAACAAAACATTATCTTACACCCAGACCTTTGTGTTGACCTAAGCACACAGTTCTCTTTTTTTTTCTTAATGCCTTGTTCAACTGAATGTTAACAAATCAACAGGCGCCACTGCGACCAAGAGCAATGTGTCGTGTCCACTAACTGGCAAATACTATACATTCCAGGCTTTACAAGCGTTGAAAAGATCTTGACCGCGTACAGTGTTTATGATGTAAATGATGTCAAAAGGTGAAGTTATGGAGACGGTGAGCTGAGGTTATCTATTTCATCCACTCTCTCATTTCCAACTATGCCACCATCTCGTTGGGCGTTCACATAAACCTGCCAACTCCACTGTGATCCTCTCTACAAATCCAAGCATGTCTCGGAAAGCAAGGGTGGGAACTCAATCGTGTTTTCAACTGCTCTTATTTTCATGAGGTACGAACGCAAGACCGTTCTCCTGTCAACAAGAAGGCATCTTTCAATTAGAGGAAGCTATTAGATGTGTTATTATATGTAATTTATTCTCATACTAGGAACAATAGCGTACAACAAATAAACCTTTTTTTAAATCTTTATTTCAAATCAGTAAATTATGAACTAATGGGAGTCGCTTAGTCACTTCCTTGTTTGGTCACGTGATGAGAGTAAGCCATCACTAGGCTGCTACACACAACAAAAGATACTTCATCATTGCTTCCCCAATGTCATGTGACTTAAAATTTTACCTTTCAAAAAATTCAGGAATACACGTGTTTTTTTTGCATGAAATACATAACTGGGACACTAAATATACGTCAGGCAAGGTGAATCACTAGTTGTAGTGTGTAACGGGCTACTGTTGTCAAGCACTAGTGTGTGGTATACAGCCTCCCGGAAGTCTTACTCGTTTTTACTCTCATCACGTGACAAACCAATCGACTAAGCGACTCCCATTAAGGTCATGTATCTTAGTTTGACGCCACGCAATCCAGTCTCACCAAAAACATGGATGGGAGCCACGTTTAGAGACGTAGTCAGATGGAACGTATAATCATTGAAAGTTATTTTCTGTTGTTCATAAAATCTTAGCGCGAAATGTCTTAGAAGCGCTGACATTGCCACTAGGCAAAGATCAATTCAAATGTTTATGGCAGGGTCACCACTGGTCAAGAACACATTCGCCGAATCATTGAGTACAGTTCTATGTGTATTGGGCATGCACAGATACATACTTCATAAACCCGAAAAACTTCTATTCTAGCGAATTTACAACGACTATTAGAAATTCCCACTGTTAAAATCCCTCTCTAAAAACAACTTCCTTCCACGGCCTTGAAAAACAACCACGTGACCACCCACCTTCCGGGGAGACAACCCACGGTATATTATTTATTTATTTATTTAGGCATTTTTATATAGCGCTTACCTTAAAGCTCTAAGCGCTTTACAATTATTAAAGACATGTAAACTAAGTAAAATAAAAATGAAAAACCAGAGACATTCGGATAGTAACTACTATACTATATTACCCACCTTCCAAAGCCTGGAGAGACAGTCCACGAATCGGTCCATCATTAAGTGAGTGTGACTTGGAGTAGGCGCCACCCGGAGTCTCTCAGTACCACGTGGTACGCTGGGGAAGTTGATGGGCTGAACGTAGATTCCGTATCGCTGAACGAGATCGTCGGACAACCTGGAGCTCGCCTTGGCGTCTCCCACCTGTAGCGTTAGCAAAATGATTGGCATATGGGTGGGACTTGGTTAAACCTGTGGTACTATTCTGTGGATGGTACGTACTACAAGCTGTCGTACTCTTCTGCAGGCGACCCGGCCCATTCGAAAATTTCCAAGGAAAACATGCTATTATTAGTTATAATGTTGAATCGCATTCCTCTAAAAATAATCACTTTTCTAAATGAATTGACAACTAAATGAAACTTCCTACCGCTTCCCTGAACTATGAAACCATTGCCCCTTACCTGAACTTTAAAACCATTTCCCCGTACCTGAACTATGAAACCATTTCTACCTTCACTGAACTATGCGAGACCACTTCAACTATTCTCAGTTCTGAAACCAATGGTCCCTTACTTGAAATCTTTACCAGAACTTACATAATGCCAACTTCAGTCTTAGACTGTGGCCATTTATTTCTTGACATAGCGTCACGAACGTAGATGTATAAATCTATCGACTTACAATAACTGGAATCACGTGACTAGACCCAGGAATGCAAGGTATCCCAGCCGACAACAGTTCACGTTTTAAATAGGCGACGTTGTCATGGAGTTTGTCACGGCGTTCTTTGCCTTCGGGACTTTGCAGAATCTGAGTCAAGAAAGAAGGCGTTCACAAATGGAATAAGATCAAGTAGAATGTTTAGATTAAGTTAAAAGTTATATAGTGGTTCTATAATTTCATGGCGATATGGTAAAATGGTATAAGTTAGACATCTCTTAGAACGAGCTTGACCAACCATGGTGACTGCACTGGCCAGTTGTTGGCGAGTCTACTGTACGCGGGGCGTATTTCACACCACGTCTTAGCAAAACCTCACAAAAGGTTTATGTACAGAGATCGTTGAGCGCAGAAGCTTCAGATGATGTAGCATCGCTTTATTGTAGACAAATAAGCACTGTCACTTTGATCATCGGGGGTGGGATGGGGCGTGGGGGGGGGGGGGAGAAAAATTGAGACCACTGGCGGAGGGCGCTCGAGCAAAGGGGGTACAGAGATCGTTGAGCGCAGAAGCTTCAGATGATGTAGCATCGCTTTATTGTAGACAAATAAGCACTGTCACTTTGATCATCGGGGGTGGGATGGGGCGTGGGGGGGGGGAGAGAAAAATTGAGACCACTGGCGGAAGGCGCTCGAGCAAAGTGGTGTAATGGTCTGGAGTGCCCCCTCCGCAGGAAATGTTTGATGAATTCAGGGATGCCTTTTGTAGCATTAGAAACTTAGTACTGTCACCGAGTTAGATAACAACAGAGGAGGTAATAGCGGAATTTTAGGTGTCACCTTGACCTAGTCGTGGTTATATTAATCTTTTATTTTAGTTATAATTTAGTCGAAATATTGATTTATAAGTTGCATTTTAGATTAATAATTTAAATTGATTTTTTTAATTTGTCTAAAAGGGGGTGGTATGCCGCACCAGTGCGTTAAGGTGCGTACCTTGAATAAAAAAATATAAAAGATGTATTAAAAAAAACTAAAAAGTTGTACCAAGTATAATAGTGTGTGTGCTGACCCAGTTTTGGTTCAAAGTAGACCTAAAGGATCCACCGCTTCTCTCACCAATTCTTTGTTTTGATAGGGACGTCATCGATTGAATGCGTAGCGCTTTGCCTATTGCCCACCCCTCCCTTGATTGGGAAAACGCTGTTTACGTCCGAATACTCTCTAAATCGCTCTGAAGGATGCTATCGGGTGATGCAATTTCTAGAATTTCCTTTTCAACTCACTCCCTTTAAATAGGCTGGTAGATTTCCCTACCGGAAGAGATTTGTGCCAGATTGCTTAGACATTAGCGAGACTTAATAAAATGTATAGGAGCCTTACAAGAATGTACTCTTTGTGTGTGTATATTTTTTTTTTCCGAGGATTATACTTTTCACTTGCTTTGTTGTAAATTAATATCGTTTTTAATTTTTTTAGTATACTAGAATGTTTTGTTGTTTTTTTTATAAACTTAACAGTATAACTCAATTAAATATGATTCATATCGGTCAGTTTGGTATCGTTTTATTTTTTTTGTCAACTGGTTTTCAGTCCTTCGTTTCGTATTGCTCAACAAACGAGTCAAATCTTAAAACAGATTACATTTGAAAAAAACATATAACGGTAAGTTACACCAGGAATAAAAAAAATAAGCGAAATTGAATGGAGAAAGGAGTTCATTTGTTACACATCCGGTTGGCCGCAATACTTAACATGATGGTCCGCCTGCCACCCCGCGGGCCGTGGGTTGGCCATCCTTGATTAAGTAGCTAGTATCGGAATCAGTTGTAGCGTTAAATGTTGGGTTGTATATACTTTATATGATTGTTGGTTTCCCCTCAATTAAATTAATACTTTATAGATGTAAGTCGTATTCATAAGATAGGAAATAGAATTCATTTATCTTAAATAAAATAACATGCATCTAGCAAAGATGATCTTGCTTTAGGGTTCAAAGATCTTCTCACGATCATATTTACCTTGAGTGATGCCAAGCAGCCCGCCATAATGTGTGGAGGGAGAGCGGTGGTGAATATAAACCCGTTGCCGTAGCTACGAACGACATCAATGACGTCAGTGTCCCCCACGATGTAGCCGCCCATGACACCGAATGCCTTCCCTTGGAAAAACATATGAAATTATTCCATTTAAGTGTCATTTCAACATCTCATTAATGTTCTAGAGCTTGAAGATCAGATGTGTTAAACAGTTTGCAAAAAAAATTGGCAGGAGACCAGATCCTCTGCAAATGAGTGCACGAAATAGTGCAGTTGGCAATAGTAATAGAGAAAGACTAGGTGTCTTGGCAACCAACGGTATGCCACGCCACTCATCCAATCAAATAAAATTAACTCAAAATACGAAGCGAGCGATACAAGTGACGTCATATAGGTATACAAGCCAACCTGGGGGAACGAACAACTGCACAAAGTTGTCCGTTTGCCGTTTTCTTTTGTTACGGTGTGTTGATTACGTCCCCTTTTGATATAACGTTCCACGTCATGTAACGCCGTACAACCGGAAACACGTTTAAAAACCCGTACAAAGTACAGGCAACCCGTACAGGTTGGCATGTAATGTTTATGGCACCAACAATGACATATTAGACAAGCCATATCACATGACGCAACAAATTGGCACGTGACACTCAACGTCTGGAAGCCTAAGATAACGGAGCCCACAAATAGTAGGGAAAAGTCTACTTGGAGCCTTAAACAATTAGACATTAGGCTGATGGAATTTGCAGCGTATTGCTCATGTCCCCTAACACAGATTATGTCCCCATTTAAGCATGTGTCCCTTTATAAGTATGCAATACAGAAGACATAAATGTTATCATAATTCAAGAAATGTTTATTTTTTTCCTTATGATTTCTCAGCTCAGTCTTCCCAGAGCGCTTACCAGCCTAATGTAGAGGATATGATGTCCACCTCTTTACTCTGCCTTCACAAACATGTAGATCATGTGATACCTACTAGTTTACGCAAACCTTACCAACCTAATGTAGAGCATATGATGTCCACTTCTTTACTCTGCCTTCACAAACATGTAGATTATGTGATACCTACTAGTTTACTCAAACCTTACCAACCTAATGTAGAGGATATGATGTCCACTTCTTTACTCTGCCTTCACAAACATGTAGATTATGTGATACCTACTAGTTTACTCAAACCTTACCAGCCTAATGTAGAGGATATGATGTCCACTTCTTTACTCTGCCTTCACAAACATGTAGATTATGTGATACCTACTAGTTTACTCAAACCTTACCAACCTAATGTAGAGGATATGATGTCCACTTCTTTACTCTGCCTCCACAAACATGTAGTAGATTATGTGATACCTACTAGTTTACTCAAACCTTACCAGCCTAATGTAGAGCATATGATGTCCACTTCCTTACTCTGCCTTCACAAACATGTAGATTATGTGATACCTACTAGTTTACTCAAACCTTACCAGCCTAATGTAGAGCATATGATGTCCACTTCCTTACTCTGCCTTCACAAACATGTAGATTATGTGATACCTACTAGTTTACTCAAACCTTACCAGCCTAATGTAGAGCATATGATGTCCACTTCTTTACTCTGCCTCCACAAACATGTAGATTATGTGATACCTACTAGTTTACTCAAACCTTACCAGCCTAATGTAGAGGATATGATGTCCACTTCTTTACTCTGCCTCCACAAACATGTAGATTATGTGATACCTACTAGTTTACTCAAACCTTACCAGCCTAATGTAGAGGATATGATGTCCACTTCTTTACTCTGCCTTCACAAACATGTAGATTATGTGATACCTACTAGTTTACTCAAACCTTACCAGCCTAATGTAGAGGATATGATGTCCACTTCTTTACTCTGCCTTCACAAACATGTAGATCATGTGATTATCCACTAGTTTACGCAAACCTCACCAACCTAAAGTAGATGAGATGATGTCCATTTTGTCCACACAACTGTCCCTCTCTCCTATCCCAGCTCCGGTTTTCCCATACATCCCTACGGCGTGGACCTCATCAACAAAGGTCATGGCGCCATATTTATGTGCTACGTCACACATCAGTTCTGCTGGAGCGATGGAGCCTGTGGAAATATTTCATTAAGACACCAGTGTATCATTGTATGATATGTAAACAATGCATTCACAAATTTTCTAAAAACAAATTTAAATGACAATTTCAGTACGAAATTTAGAGAAAAAAAAATTTCAATAGCCCTATTGTGCTAGAAGCCAACTTCTCTATGTTCAAAATCATAAAAGTAATGTCAAGTATATTGTTTAAAAGAAGGACATTCTTTGATCTAATTGACATCAATACGCAAATATATGTTAACTACTGGACTCCTTCGTTTCTTTTTCTTGTCTAGAGCTGTTAAATTTCATGACAGTATGTCTTTCACACCGAAAAATACCACCTTCATTACAAAGTCTTTCAGAACCCAAAAGTAAAACTATCATTACAGTTTGTCTTTTACACACACACACACACACACAAATACCATTTTCATTACTATAAAAAAAAAAAACGAATGTGGACACACTTAATCTAAAAAAGTTTTTCCCAATTTTTTATTTAAGTTTGACGGACCTGGGGATAAGTTTTCTATCTAACCAGTGACCGATGCTTTAGTTATTTATCAATTTTATTTTTTTTCCCTTGAGTGATTCGCCCCTAAATACGTCATAGATTTTTTGTTTTGTCCGCACAGGTGCGATTACTCCTAAGTTTGGAAAGAAGACCGATCTATACGACAAAACATTGTCGTTCATCTATCAAAAGTTCCGGAACATGGATATCCCGGATGTCTTCGCGTAAGAGTATCGGCAAATATAGCTGTAGCCGAAGGAAAGAAACCTACCATCCATCGAGTGGATGGTCTCAAAGACAACCACTTTGGGCACGTCGATGTCCACTTGGCTCAGCAGCTCCTCCAGATGGCCCGGGTTGTTGTGACGAAAGACGTGCTTCGCGGCCTGGCTGTTCTTGATGCCAGTGATCATGGACGAGTGGTTGCCAGAGTCGGAGAAGTAATGGAGTCCTGCAAACACACAATCAAAAATCACATATGGTTGTAATATAACTTACCAAAATTTTTAACAACTCTGCTGTGAATATTTTGGCTGCGACTCAATCTATGGATTATTATTTATTTATTTTAAAAAAATTAAGACTTGGGTGTTGAATTTTAAATTAATAAGACAGAAATAATTTGTGTAAGTAGAACAGTGTGTTAAGCTTTATTTCAAGGACTCAAAGAGATGTTTTGGCGATCGCCTTTCGCATTAAAACGAAAAGAATATTGTAGATTGTTCTTCTGGTAATTTTGTTTCCTTTAAGTAATAAAAAAACTGTTAAGTTTTCATATTTAAAATGGTAGGGCTTATGTATAGGCCAATATTTAGCCACCACCACTTGATATTTCCTTGATATTGACGTCACCGAGTAAAATATGATGTGTCAATCCTTACCCATCTCGTCCTCGATTGGGAAAAGGTTGTTTACGCTCGAATGCGTTCTACGCGTTCTAAAGAATGCCATCAGGCTGCGCAAATTCTAGAATTTATTTTTTTACTTGGTGATTTTGATTTAATTTCTCTTTATAGACTGGCAGTTTTCCCAGAGAGAGAGAGAGAGAGAGAGAGACAGAGAAAGAATATTTCAGTAAGAGAGAGATAGAGGGAATAGCTATATTTCCTAGCATATACGAGACAGATTGTAATTGTAAGATTGTACTCTTTTTGTGTGTATGTAATATAATATCTGCATTGTTCGAGGAATGTTATACTTGCTACGCCATACGTCGATTTAGTTTTAATTTGTTTCTATATTTGAATTTTTATTTCTTTTAAATAGAATGCTAATTAATATCACCAGCTTTGGTTTCGCTTTCTTTGCATACTATTTTTCTCAGTCTTTTGTTGGCGCATTGTTTCTTCTACGAGCCAAACGTTAAATCAGATTTTCAAAACCAAAGAGGTGCGTAACAACATGCATTTTTTCCCCGTCATCCTATTTCATAAACCTACCACGTGAATTTAAAAAAAAAATAAATAAAAAAAGCCTTAATGGCAACCAACGGTTGTGCAGTGATTTGGCTGCTTCGGGGTAACGCCTTCTTTCTTACCTGGCAATTGTTTCCCCAGGGTAAATAAAGCCGTATCGTTGGCAACAAAGCCGGAACTGAAGACGAGCCCCGCCTCCTTTTGGTGATATTTGGCGAGCTCAGATTCCAGCTCTTCGTGAAACGGAGAGTTCCCGGAGATCGACCTTGAACCGCCCGACCCACTTCCGTGTTTGCTTACTGCATCTCTGGTAAATGGTTGAGGGGGGGGGGGGGGAAAGATCAAAACTTAGAGAGTGGAACTTAATTCATGAAACTGAAGATTTATTTTAGATTAAAAATCCACTTTACAATTGTCTGCATTGTGTATTATAAATAATTAATGTCAAGTAATTAAGAGATTGTTTGACTGCAATAAATCTGAAAGCAGAGTAAAAGGTGCAAAAAAACTGGTATGTGAAACACAAATGATAGGAAGAATTTGTTTTAGAGGTTGTTGCAATAAATTAAATTTATTGGGTTGAAATATCGGTGAAGTTTAAAAAAAAACTATGAATATGAGAACTATTAATATTAAGTTCAGTGGTGCCATTGCGAAAAGAAAACCAGATTAATAGATTAAGATGTGTAAGACGTTGACTTGACGTCACATCAACCAAATGTACTGAACGTGGTCGCGTCACGCGAAAGCTGCGCCCGGGGAGAAGCCTGAATTAAGGCACCGTCTTCTCCTCACCTCCACCCACCCCTGGAAAAAAATATATATTAATACAGATAAAATGCATGAAAACAACTAGGGTTTTTGACGCCCTCTGCAGATGCAGTCCGGGGGTGGGTGCCCCTGCCCCTTTTCATGCCTCTTCACTCGGCCCTGAACCAAAGTAGACAAGCCGTACCAACCTTTCCACTCGCTTCCCCGTCATGATAACTTGTTAAATTAAATGGCATACTGCATAAGAAAACGCGCGTACCGCTTTCCAGCACCTGGGAATATCTCCCTCCCCCCCCCCGGCCCCTGCTCACCCGTCTCAAATAAAAAGAAAAAGGAAAGAAAATAATTTTTTTTAGAAAATGAGTCGTTATGAATTTTGGCTTCAAGAACTGGGTTTTCTGGTTGTTGTGTCAGAGATTTGTATGTTTACGAACAAAAAAATAAAAAGTGAACAACATAGAAGGGGAACAGCTTCATGTTCTGCTGATATTTTTGCATGACTGTATAAACGACAATTTGTTAACAGAAAACAAATGTACGAACAACTTTGTCGGACTCACCTGATGGCCTCCAGAACTTTTGGGTGCATGCTGAGCTCCATGTAGTCGTTGCTGCACCAGATGGTGATGTTGTGGCTCCCGTGGCTGGTCTCTACGGCCGAGGGGAACTGATCCTTGCTGCGCAGTATACGCTTAAACACGCGGTACGAGTTGTCCCGCTTTTTCTTCTCAATCTGCTGCCGGAAGAACGCTCCGTAGTCGAACAACTGCTTCAGTTGCGGCCCTGTGACAGAACGAAAAAAAAAAAATGTAGATTTATTTTTGGATAAAGTTGTAATTTTTTCGAGGATTTTTTTTTTCCGTTTACCATTTTTAATTTATTATTATTTTTGTTAGTTAAGTAAACCAGCAATTTGTTTATTTATTTTTTTAAAACACATAGTTTTAGGGAGAAAAAAAACAACATGAAAATATTCATTTACTTAGTAATTGAGTGCAGAGCTTTTTTTTTTTCTCCCTCTAAAACTAGGTGCAAGTTTTTGATGCAACAAACTATTTCAAAATAACTCACCAACTTCGCGTGCTGATGTCTTGTTTATTAATTTGCCCGCCAGTGACGTCATTGCCGTTGGTATGTTTGAAATAAAGTGATCTACAAGACGTATGTCGGTTCAGATGTCCGTATTTGGTGGGTTTTTTTTTTTTTGGACTGCTGTTACTGAAGGTGGACGACGCGGGAATAATGTATCCTTAACATTGGCAGGATCTGAACCGGAGAGATGGGCTTTTATAGGGCCCGCTCAGCGGCCAGAAGAGAGACGTACAAATAAAAATGACGTAGTTGAAATATCCGGGATAGACTTATTATTTTTTTTTATTTTTTTTAATTGCATAGCTTTTGAATTCCCAATAAAATGGCTTTTAAAAAAAAATGCTTTGTTGTAAAGAAGTTGTGGGAAATGTTGACATGTTTCCGCATTTCGTTAAAATTTGATGACGTGAAAATTTTGAATTTAACGGAAATCCGAGAAGATTATTTTATAACATAGCTCGAGCTCATGTATCGGTGCACAATCATGTGTGTATAGGTGCATTGTGTGTAGAGGCCTATTGTGTGTATTGTGTTTAGGCCTATTGTGTGTAGGCCGATTGTGTGTATTGTGTGTAGGCCTATTATGTGTATTGTGTGTATGCCTATTGTGTGCATTGTGAGTAGGCCTATTGTGTGCATTGTGTGTAGGCATATTGTGTGTATTGTGTTTAGGCCTATTGTGTGTATTGTTTTGGCCTATTGTGTGTAGGCCGATTGTGTGTATTGTGTGTATGCCTATTGTGTGTATTCTGTGTATGCCTATTGTGTGTATTGTGTGTAGGCCTATTGTGTGTATTCTGTGTAGGCCTATTGTGTGTATTGTGTGTAGGCCTATTGTGTGTATTGTGTGTAGGCCTACCGTGTGTATTGTGTGTAGGCTTATTGTGTGTATTGTGTTAGGCCTATTGTGTGTAGGCCTATTGTGTGTATTCTGTGTATGCCTATTATGTGTATTGTGTGTAGGCCTATTGTGTGTATTCTGTGTATGCCTATTGTGTGTATTGTGTGTAGGCCTATTTTGTGCATTGTGTTTTTTTGTGTGCATTGTATGTTTTATGTGTGTTGTGCGTTTGTTTTACAATTGTGGGGATGTTTTACAACTGTGGGGATGTTTTGCAACTGTGGGGATGTTGTACAAACTTAATCATTTTTGAAAGAAAACTGTATTTCTTTAAAAGGGCCCTCCAATTGAAGGCCAAGAAATGTCAAGATGAAGGCAGAATACTTTCGGAAGCGTCCCAGCTGTAAATTCTAACGATGCAACATTTATTACTTGAAGAGTTTGATCCTAATTGTTTAACTGCAGTGAAGAGTATTAATGGTTGGTGACGGGTTAAGTACTCTCTTTTTCTCTCTCTCTCTCTCTCTTTCTCTCTCTATCTCTCTCCCTCTCCCTCTCTCTCTCTCTCTCTCTCTCTCTCCCTCTCTCTCTCTCTCTCTCTCTCTCTCTTCTCTTTTATATTTCGGCTATGTGAGACAGATAAAAAAAATATAAAAAAATATA